ACTCACTAGAACTGTGATCTTCAATATGGTAGCCACGGGAGCTATTTAATTTGAATTTTCTTTAACTAAAATTAAAATTAAAAATTTCACGAACCGCATTTCAAATGCTCAAGTAGCCATGACAGGGGTGCAGATATAGAACATTTCCATCTTTGTAGTAAATTCTTTTGGAGAGCAGGGGGCTAGAAATCTCCAAAAGATTCGGGATACTGACTGCTTTGTTTACTTCTGTACTCCTGGTGCCCAGATGGAAGCCGACACACGGTGGATGTATAATCAGCGTGTGTCAAGCGAATACATTTGTTTTCAAATTCTAGTTGCCAGCTATGGCCGTTAGTTTTCTTTGACTAGAACTAGACCCCAATGGAAGGATCACCAAAACATGAACCTCACCAACCTCCCCACATGATGAGCTCTGTGACTTGGGTTATAAGTCACAAGCCTTCTCTAAGGACGTCTGCCAAACGGCTTCTCACCTCCCTAGGACTTGGACACAACCTTCTCACCGTCCCTGACCTTTTGCTCTTGGACCTTGCCTCCCACCAGTGTCTCCCTTTGCCCCTGCTGTTTGAGGCACCCCCTGTTCACTCGTGCACCCCCTTCTCTTAGACAAGTGCCCTGTTTGTAGATGGCACACGGTGCATATTTGAGTGTTGAAGGCGTGTCATCTTCCACGGCTAAAAGGAAGCTGGGATTTTCTTACGATGCTGGGGTTTTCTTAAAAGCACATCACTGGGGCACAAGGGTGGCTCAGTCGGTTGAGAGCCTACTCTTGGTTGCAGCTCAGGTCATGATCTCAGGGTCCTGGGATTGAGCTCTGAGTTGGGCTCTGTGCTCAGCGGGGGGGTCTGCTTGTCCCTCTCCCTCTGCCCCTCCCCCCTCATGAATAAATAAACAGAAATCTTTAAAAGCGCATCGCTACATGTGATCTACAAGCTAGGTGGACACTGTCTACACCTGCTGGGATACCACCTTCACTGCAGAGACTGGCCAAGTAGGCGAGTTGCTGCAGCCCCCGCGGCACCAGATGAGCCAGAACCAGCGCTGTGCCCAATGCACAGTGAAAATGACCACACGATTCTGAGAGCAGGTGAGAGCTATGTGTGGACAGGGGTTGTAAGAGCCCAGCACGCAGGTGATGTGTCCGCTCTTTCTGGGTGAGTTGTTGTCCTTTCCGGGCTGTGATAGCACATGAAATGCTGGAGCTGGCTTCTGTGAGGTGTGCCGAGTGCACCAGGAGAAAGCGTGTGCCTGGAAGAAGGTCTGGGCAGAGGTCTGCCACGGCAGCACCGATGTTCCTACCCACCAGGAGCGAGGCTCTTCAGATAACAGAGGGCGCCGCCACATTGCCGTGGCAAGCCGTGGCAGCGTGGACCACACACAGCACGTCTGAACGGAGGCTCCCCGTGGCGCTGCGGGGCTCTACCCGGTTGTCAGATCTGTAGCGAGCCATTTCCATTTTATTTTGAAATCCTGGCTATTCGCGTGGAAGGGTGAGGTTTATGATGGCAACAGAGAAGAGAAGGTCCGCTCCCGAGCAAGACTGCAGCTCACCGTGGAGGGAAGACCTTGCCGACCGGGGGCGTTCTTAGCGGCTCGGGGCCCCTCTCCCCCTCTCCCCGGGGCCAGGCCTCGGCTTCTTTCTCATCTCTTGGGCGCTGCCCTTCTGAGCTGACGGCAAGTGCCAAACACAATGAGTCTTTCTGCGTGCCCATTCACCTGCCTCCACCCACCTCCCAGAGTCCTCTGTCCACTCTTCCCTGCTTCCCCGTTCACTCGGCATCTCTCTGGTTTCTTTTGCTTTGATTTACGTTGTTGAATTTAAGGAATCTTGTGAGGTTGAGAATTATTTACTCATACTTTGACTCAGGTCCAGGGACCCACAGACTGTGGGAAACTCTTAGCTGCCCGAAAGAACACGACAGCTACACACAGCTTGTCGCAGGCTATGGTCACCTCGCATGTGAGATGCTCGTCTCCGGACCTGTGGCTCCCGCTGTCAGGCCCACGGCAGGGCGGCGGGGGGGTGGGGGCAAGTGTGGCTGGCTGAGTGCCGAGTGATGGGGAGACGCCCATACACTCACGCGGGGGCTGAGCACAGAGCTCTGGGAACCAGTCAAAGTTGTGGGTTCCCTTTCTCCCACTGCAGTCTGACCATCTCAACAATTCCCAACAATTTGGGCTTAAACAGGGTCTGGTATTTATCAATTTCTAAGATATCTGACTGCCCAGGGAAACAGTGCCCTGTGAAGGTTGACGCCATTAAAAAGTCGGAATAACCCATCTGTCCTTAATTTACAGTCAAATGCCAAAGGGTTGGGGGAAGGTGAACCTGCCTAAGGAACGGAAATAATGAATTAAAACTGACCTCAGTTGGAAAAACCTGAGAATTTCACGACCTTTTAGGTAAGTTAACAAGCAAAGACAAAGATGTCTCTATCTGTTAAACCAGACACTTTGCCTGCCCTCCTTACACTTTCTGTACTGTTAATCTTGGTGTCATTCTGTTCCCACAGAAGTTCTGTAACAGAAATGAACTCTGATGCCTTCCATCCAATGGCCTTCCACCCCACGGAAGAAGGGAAAATACAGAATACATAAAGAAAGAAAGAGCAAAACGGATAGAGACAGGTCAGAGGGCCACACCACTCTGTCTGGGGCTGGCGATCGTCAGACCGTTAGTGGTGGAGAAGGTCTGAGAAGTCAGTTGGCCCACGTCCTTTGTGTCTATCACCCTGTGGAATGTTGGCAAATTAGGACTTACAAGTTTTAATTACTGCAATATATATACACAATAGTCTATTTTAAATGCAGACCTCAAACGGCAATGAAGTATGAATTCATTTCTTTCAAAAATATTTTATTTATTTTAGAGAGAGAGTGAGAGAGAGAGTGAGAGAGAGAGCGAGCACATGGGGGACAGGGACAGAGAGAATCTCAAGGACACTCCCCACTGAGGAGGGAGCCTGATGCGGGGTTAGACCCCAGGGCCCCGAGATCATGAACTGAGCCGAAACCGAGTCAGACACCCAACCGACTGAACCACCCAGGTCCCTGTATTAGTTCGTTTCCTAAAGTTATGTTGAATTCCCTGAACAACTGAAGAGAAGGTTGGAGAACTGACCAGGGGGTCATAACTTGAGGAAAGAGGGCCAGACCTCCTTTCATCTGGCCCGTGTCCTTTCCCTCCACCCCGGCGAGTCTCCTTTATATAGGAGGAGGAACGCAAGCACAGAATATTACTGCACTGGGATAAGAACTCATCCAAAATGTCTGAAAACTTGAGTTTTATTCTGGACCGCATTGGAGCAGGTCATTTACCCGCCGTGTCGGTGTCCTCCTTCCCTCCCGTGTGAACTAGGGGATGAGGTCTAGATCATCCTCTGTACTTTCCAGCTCTGGCCACGGAGAGAGGAGTTGCACACCCTGTGGGGCCACAGACCCTGCCCTTCATGCCTCGGCGGCTGGGACCGTCGACCCACAGGCGGGATGGCTCCGTCTGTGAGGAACAGTCCTCCCCCTGCAACAACCCACTGCCCACCACTTAGGGCTGGAGAAGACGTTTCACACTGAGCGTTTCATACTGAGACGTTTCACACATTCGGTAACATGAGAATTCATTTGGAATCAGAATCCAGAGTACATTTGTGATTTCTGCTTCAGGCCCAAAAGTTATCCAGTAACACAGAGTTTCTGATGTCGGCTGGCACCATGGTGAGGAGCAAGTGAACTCTACCCCGTGTCCATATAAGGCTGGGCTGCCCAGCGCTCGGGGAGCGGAGAGCTCAGCAGTGAGGCATTGCTGTCCCTGCTCCAGAAGCTCCGTGGGGAAAATCTGTGGCAAGGCACCCTGGGGAAGCTGTGGGAAAGAGCAAACTCTGCGCTCGGCTCTCTAACGGCAGAATCTGTCCAGCTGCTATTTTTATGCATTACATTACTTTTAAAAAATATTATCAGTCCAAGAGTAGGACGGAAATAGCCCTGCCGTCTACAGGGACACATCTGGGTAAATCTGTTAATTAACAAATGTTTAATGTACACATATTGGGCTTGAGAAACTGATATGGATACTGTATCTTAATAAGCATTTGGATGAAGTAGACCCAAGCGTCCTAATAGCAGATATCCCCGGTAATGCAATGATACATGGTGCCATTTCTCTCTCTTCCAGAGGCCTTTCCTTACCACTCACGGTCAGCATTTCTATCATCTTGGTGACTGATACCCAGTGGTACACCTGGGTCCCCAGGGCAGCCCCAGGGCTCACGGCTAAGACAACCCGAGTTGTATCTGCGAGGCCCAGGCCAGCGTGGGGCGCTGGGCAGTGCGGAGCGAGGCAAACACAGCAGGGGGCCCCCGGCCACCTGCACGCTGCCCCTGCTGGAGCCTACAGGCCGGGCCCCAAAGGGGGCCAGCATGCGGCTCTGTCCCTGAACCAACCACTCAGACAGCCGCCACATCTCAGCTTAATGTCATCATTACCTGGCTGAAGGATGAGAGGCAAGTCAAACCACACGGGGTTCTGGATTTCTTGCGTTAACCAAATTCACCGGAAGGTGTCCATTATCTACTTTACTCGGCAACGTAGAGAAAAGGTCTCAGGCTATGTGTTAATGAGGGCCGAGAGGAAACAAAGAGCTCCACGCAAACTTACTGAACTAGGAAGACCTAGGGACCCTTAGAAATCTCCCTCCTAATAACCGCTCTGAGAAGACCCCTGGCATTATAAGAGTACATAACTATGTAGATGGCATCATCTATTAAAATAAAATATAATGCTAAGTGAAATAAGTCAGCTGGAGAAAGACAAATACCATATGGTCTCACTCACATGTGGAAATTAAGAAACAAAACGAACAAAGAAGAAGAGAGATAAACAAAACACCAGACTCTTAAATACAGAGAACAAACTGCTGGTTGCCAGAGAAGTGGGGGGAGGGAGGAAACAGATAAAGGGGATTGAAGGCACACTTGTCTTGATGAGCACAGAGGAATGTACACAATTGGTGAATCATTATACTGTAGACCCGAAACTAACATAACACTGTACGTTAATTATCCTTGAATGAAAAAAAAATAATCAGAGTGAACCATCTTTACTGAAGAACAAAATTCACATAAAACCATTACGGGAAATGTTAACAGATCAGTTCTGCATTAAATAATCATAAAAAAAGTGAAAAAGAATAGACCCAGTAACCTTGTGCTCTGTTTGGGTTCTGTTTGGCTGATCACATGGAGAAGAATGCAGAGTCTCTCTGGAGCTGAATTCCCTCCCACCCTGGCGAGTCCCACAGATATTTGTAAACCACTAATTTATCTTCCTCATGCCCATATAAGGCTGGGCTGCCCAGCGCTCGGGGAGGGGAGAGCTCAGCAGTGAGGCATTGTCATCCCTACTCCAGAAGCTTCGCTGGGAAAATCTATAGCAAGGGTCCTCGGGGGATTTTAAATCTCACCAAATGGCTTCCATATATTTAAAAAATACTCAATCCTTGAGAAATGCTGATGCATAACCTTCAATCAGCAATTCTTAGAGCATAACGTCCCCCTTCCAGGCAGAGGACCCTTGACGACATCAACAACTAGCGCTGTCCTGAGGACTGTGGCTCAGGAAGGTCCCAGCACGTGGGGACCGAAGCCTCCTCAGGGGTGATCTTCGGCATGGAAAGGACGAAGGTTGGGCAGTCACACGGCAGGGAGGGGGACCGCCACATCTGTAAAGGGGTTTCTTATCGCGAGTTTTGCTTATTTGGCTTCCGGAGGGGACTCAAGTAGGAGAGGGTGTGTGACATCATGCCCAAGAGGCCAAGCTCCACCGAGACGAGTCCTCCTCCTGCAGGGTGGGAATGGGGACCGTAAACACTGACCACAGGATTCGGGCTGGTGAGGCGCATTTGGAACACCCACGGGGTGCTGTAATTTCTGAAGCGACAGGGACAGGGGGCACAGGCCAACACCTCCCAACCACCTCTCCCAATCTGGCCCTGGACGGGCAGGAGTCCCCTAGGGAAGTGGGATCCCAAGGCACGAAGACTCAAAAGACTGTGTCATAAAACGAAATACTGCTCCCCATACGAGGTGGGCTTACACAGAGAAATAGAAACAATGTCTTTTTAAAATCAGTAAAGCCGCGACCCAAACATCAGCTTCGCTGGCAACAGGAAAGCCCGTCACTTGGAACACGTTAAACTCAGTATCAGACCGTAATGCAGGTGGTGTCAGGTGTGTTGGCCACGATGGGGACTGACCTTTCTCTCCGACCTATCTGATGAAATTCGATACATAAAGGACATTTGGGGGGAGGAGTACTAATTTTGAAAGCGAGACTGATTCTCCATGGCAGGAGGCTCGTGCCCTCTGGTCGGAATATCTGTAGTGGGGGGTAGACACAACCATGCTTTCTTTATGTAATATTTTTACAGAATACATGGTTACCTATAAAACGCAGTTGCATTATATATACATATCTAATTCCCAACGATGAACAAGAGACATGTGAGAAAGTTACCGTTCTCTATTCAGAGCGTGGTATACCTGGACCAAATTTTGCGTTATGTTATCATTTGTTCTGATACGGAAGAGTACGTCTGTATTAAATTTCTCAGGAAAGCATGGGATTGACCCCGTCAGGAGATGGAAGGCACTTTTGTCTGGAACAGAAGCTACGGAAGAGTCCCGTTTCCACGACGCTGTGACTTACCCGTCCCCCCTTCTCGGGGTAACACTGGCAGCCCCCGCTGCAGTCTCTCCCTCCGCAGGGCACGTCGAACTTCTTCACGCCCTGCACAAGGAAGCACAAAGAACGTGTTATCCCAAACGTCGTCCTCTACAACAGTAGTGCATCATCTGCTGAGAGCATGTGCAACTCCAGCAGCCAGCTCTCTACTCAAAACAAGTAGATTTTCTTTTTTAGAGCACCTTTGGGCCCACGGCAAAGGGTACAGAGAGTCCCTGTGCGCCCCCGACCCCCCCCCACGCAGCTGTCCCCGCTACTAACGTCCCCCCCACAGAGCAGCACATTTGTCACCGTCGATAAGCCTACACTGACGACTCATCATCACCCAGAGTCCAGAGTTTACAATGGGGTCCCTCTAGATGTTTTACCTTCTATGGTCAGTATGCCTTTTAAAGGTGCCTACTCAACGCCAGATGTCAAGCTAGGTCCTGGGCCTCGAAAGTTGGGGAGAACATTCCCCGAATCCAGGGATCCCGGGTGAAGTGAGCCCGTGACACTCTGTGTTAAGTACTTCAGTACGAAGCAGAAACTCCAGGTGTAGGAAGCAGCCCTCATGCTTCTGGAATGGTGGGGGAGGCAGCCCTGAGGAGGTGTGATCAAGGGGAGCAGGACTGGGTTAGGTTCCATGCTGGGCCCCATCATACAACACGGATCCAGGTGAGCTAAAGGGAGAGGGGCTTCCGAGGGGGAGGAGGACTTTGCAAACACACCTTCCCTCCCCACCTCTCCCCTCCCCTCCCCTTCTCTGCCCTCTATGAGACCCAGTGGTTAGCAGAAGGAGGAGGGATGGAGGGAAGAGGCCTTCCTAAGTCTTTATTCGGCCAACTCTTTAATGAAGTGAGTGGCTAAGGGAGGGAGTTCTCTGCCTGGACAATCCTAATGGGTTCCAAGGCATTGCTTGCTCACCCTTGATCTCAGTATTTTAGGTAAAGGATGGACTTGGACTTTGGACTAGGAAATCTTCCTTTTGGACTGTTGACAGCAGGATAATGTGAGCAGGAAGTGACAATCAGAATGGCCCTCCTCTGGCCCCTTCTGGATCAGCCCCACCTCCCCCATCGGCATGACAGGTGACTTACACAGCGGCACGGGGGATCCCTGTCACCCTCGTCACCCTCGGCCCGCCCAGCAGACCGCCCAGCTCGCAGGCACTGATACTCAAGGGACCCCGGACAAGGTTAGCTTCTGGTGCATGCTGAGCCAAACCTTACTGCACAAGCAACACTCCCCAGATAACAGACCATGCCAACTTGACACAAAAGTGAATTTCGCCACATCTGTTCCATTCCCTTCTAAGTTAGGTTTCAGTGACTAAACAGGATGGTCACCTGGGGACTCCCTCTAGAGGGTTTCTCGTGCTAGCGTGTCAGCCAGAATCTTCGCTGTTCCTGGCATGGTTCTGCTGCTCGTGTGTAGATGGACGCCGTGTTGTCTGGCCACCTCCGTGTCCCCTGCTAGCCCTCCTGCACGCGCAGCCTTGACGGGTGCACAGTGAACGCTGACTCAAAACTCTCTGGCCAGAGTTTACCTAAGACCACCACGACTACTCAATGTTCTTTTTGTAGAGATGATAAATTCCTTTCCTGTGCATACAACTTTCTATAAGGGGGATCGTTTGAGTCCCACGTTTCTTGTGTCCCCACAGTAGCCCTTTACCGACTCCAGTATCTGATGCATCAGTCACTATTTTGAAGAATTCAAAAAAATCTGAAAATCCCAAACCAACACCTCGAAGCCTTTTGGATGTCTTGGTTATCATTTTGTGAGACAGTTTGAGTTCCACAGTGTAAAAGTAAACACATTTAAAATCCTTTCATGCCCTCACAATATGTTTCTAGGTATTTGCCATATTTTTTCACGGCTTCAATGTTTATCTATAGTGGGGCTCATTTTAAAATCCCACCATTTTGAATATTTGGTGTTTATAAATCCAGCCCCATGCGAAGCCATCGGTTTTAGGGATTACCCTGAATGCCAAAGGGAGACATCTAGATGGGCAGCCACATTTATACTTTGTATTACATACGACTGGGATGTGAATAGGGGGCGTGGCAGGTGTCCCTGGTTCACACAGTAATTCATTTGCCAGTTGTCTGGAAAGGGCAGGGGGACTCCTCAGTCTGAGGACTCCAGGGTAAAGCATAAACTCCCATTCTCCATCTGGTGTTTCATAGGCTATTTTTAATTTTGATCTTAAAGGCACTTGCCAAATCCCTGGATATAAATCAATGGTTGAAATGATTTTATATTGATCTAACAGACTTTCTGTCCTAGATTTAGGATATGAACTGGACTTAGTTATAGGAATGAGTTCTTCATAACCTGCTTAAAATTTAATAGTGCTGTTTTGCTTTTGGAGCTGGGACTCATAGGTCTGATAACTCCCAATTTTGACACTTCCTCGACCATGAGCCATGGCTTGGGGATCCCATCCCAGGAGGTGAGGCAGGCCTCCCTCTACAAGCCACAACCAATCTCCAACATGGAGATTCCAGCCCTGTGTGTGATGTGGTGCATGTGCATGTGGTGGGATGTGGGGTGTGTGTGTGTGGTGTGAGGTGTGTGTATGTGATATGAGGTGGGTTGTGTGTGATGTGAGGTGTGTATGTGTGGTGTGTGTGTGTGACAGCATGTGATGTGATGTGTTTGTGTGTGTGATGTGAGGTGGGTTGTGTGTGGTGTGTGTATGTGTGTGTGTGTGTTTTCCCATCAGCATCTTACATCTTGCATAGCCTACAGAGGGAGTCTTACATTCGAATTCCAACATCTACAAGAGCTCTAAGTACCAGGAACTGGAATGTCAGATCTCCAGGATGAACAGAAGTATTTACTTTATTAGGCCAGAGCATGTGTTCCAGACGTCTCTTAGAGACTGAACAAATCTCAGACCTGAGCTTCGGTATTCCCCTTTGGGACGTGAGCTCTGGAACGTTCTCAAGCTACAAATGCCCTCCTGAGGACCTGGGATGAGGAGTATGTGAGCTGCTCTGTGGGGTCCTCTGTCTGCGTCCCCTGAACAGAAGAGTACTAAAAGCCTCCACCAACCACTGCCCATGCTCGAAGCCCTCGGGTCCACCCTGGATTTTATTGCTCAACACAACTCAGAGACAAACCTTGAGCCTTCTTGTCAACTCCTTAGTAAAGATGACCAGTGTCCTCCCACTGAACACCCACCTGAAGAGCCTACCACCCTCGAAGATGATCAGCTGGCCTGGTCTAGGCCTTCAACTTCACGGTCTCTAGGATGCCATGCTTTCCAACTGCAGCTCCAAGACTCCTCAGGAGCATCAGCTAAATTCTCCACGAGTTTCTCATGTCAAGTCTGAATTCCCATTGGTACCATTCCATAGAGCAATATTCCTGCACCCTGCTCTCCCCATGGCCCCCTGCAGCAGCGCCTGTCACTGAGCTCACCATCCCAACGTCCACGGAGGGCATGCTGCCCAGTACCAGGGTCAGGAAGCTCGAGGTGCAGAAAGTGTCCGCTGTCACGGACCACGCTGCATCCACTCAACTGAGCTTGTCTGGATGTCCTTCTTCCCTGGGCGGAGAAGGACTCGCAGCCAAATGAGACCAAAGATGTGAGGATCCATGCAAAGTGGAAAGGCCTACCACCCCCTTGAGCATGCCTGAATCTGACACGCATGGGCTCCTATGTCCGCGCACCCACGCGGAAACCGCTCCCTCCCAGGCTCTGGAAGGACGGAGGATCCCGTGCTGTGTGCCTCCCAGCTTGGAGTGGTCAGGGAAAGCCTTTCCCTCAGCTGCACCAGTGACAGGGCTCCGAGCTCGCCGATCCCCCCAAACACGACAGCCACAGGGCTCTTGGAGATACTTTACCCGCCCTCTCCCCTTGCAAATTCACTCATTCGTTCCTTCCTTCCTTCTCCACCGAATGTTTTCTCTGGGCTGAGCACTGTGCTGGGCCATGGGTGTAAAGTGGGGAACAGAGAGTGTACACAAGTTGACAAGAGAACTAAGTAAATGAGCAATAAAGTCTACACACTTTAAATTACGGCAAGTGCCATGAAGGAGAGGTGGTCTGAGAGGAAGAGTCAGGCCAGGTCAGGAGAGGTCTGACTTAGCCGGGCCCTCTCCCTCGGGCTGTCCTGTGCTCTGTTATCCCTTATTGGCCTCCCCCACAGTGGCCGACCTCCCTGCCTTCCGACCTGAGGCCCTCACTGCTAAAACCCAGGGGACAGAGAGCTGCCAGTCTCTAGGCCTAGGAGAGCAAGACCTCCAGGTTATCATCATCATCAGGGAATCAAGGGCATCTTGGAATGGAGTGAATTTGAACCTATTCTTCATAGGACCCCCAGGATGCCCCTCCATTGCCGGATCCCCCAACTTCCGGCCAGGACTCAATTTCAGCCCATCGTGGCTTTATGGTCCAGGACGGGCGTGGGGCATCTTCTGTCCTCCTTGCTCAATGAAAGCCACCTCAGTTGCTACCGAGATGTGTAACCACTTCCAACTGTGGGTCTAACTTCCCAACTGTGGAAGGAGTCTGACTTGGGGGCTTAATTGTTAATTCCTTCCGCAACTGATGAACATTGCCCCGAGGTCCGGTCCTTGGGTGCCCCTCTCCCGGGAGCTACCTCGTCCAGAGCCCCGCCCCGCTGAACTCAGCGGCTCCCTCCAGGATGGGGAGGGGAAGGTCGGGGGCTGGCAGACACAGGGCAAAGGGTGGTAACTCTGCTATCACTGTAAGCTGGCTGGACATCCTACCAAGTACTGTCGAACCAACAGGAGTTGTTTTGAAAAATAAATGTGAATTCTAAGTTTTGGGAAATAAGACAGAAAACGGCTTAAACATCAGAAGCACAGTAGATCAGGAATGCCTCTGAGCTGCCCCAGGAAGAGATGAAGTGGGTACTTCTTGCAAAACAATGAACAAGAACAAAAGCCATATTGGCAAGGGAGGGGTTGTGTGGGGAGAGCCCGTGGTGAAGATAGGGAGCGGAGAGTCTGAACAGGATGTGCCTGGACACAGTGTCCTAAATGACCCGGGCAGGGGGAGGGGCCTGATAGAGGCAACGTCTGAG